TTGAGGGCGCAGTGCTCCTGCTGACTTGCTGAGTTCAGAATGGTGTCTCATCAGCGATAGGCGAATTATCGTGATACAAAAGATCAGAATAATGAGCCTTTAAGCTTTCCTCCCACGCCATTTCAAAAGATCTTGTTTCGTGTCTGCATATTGCACGAGCGCATGCCAGTTTATATGCATTGCGCAACACAAGTGAGCAGGTTGCACGTCTTCAATAGCTGTTTGCCTGCACAAGTGAATTGTTTGTTCTGTCATGGTTTGAAGGAAGCGTGCATGTCTTTACGCAATATCGGCCCATCTGCGTTTACTTTAATAGGTGATTTTGCGCGTGGGTGAAACGAGCTCAGCTAGACTGATGAGCTGAAGTATGGATGACGTCGTGTGTATAACACAGACTCGTAGCACTGCTCTGAAACAGCGAAATCTGTCTTACACAATGACTAGTTCTTGATTAAATGGCTCAGCAGGCGCCTATCCAATTTCAACAATTACGCCCGCTGGAGCAATCTGTTCTTCGGTGTGGAAAATGGTGTGGAAGATTACGCAATCGGTGCTCGATATGGATGGACAAGAGCATCTTTATTGGATCAGATGGCACAGCGTGGGACCGTAAAAATACCTCTTAACTTAAATACGCAAAGATTGCGTCATCGCCTGCATACGATTTGTTTTTCGCCCGTCTAAACTTAGCGTACTGCATTCTGTGAACAGGAACAGTTCGGTTCGGTCATAGCTAAGAAAATCACTTCGGATGAAGCGTAAAAACATCATGTGTATCGACGTCCTGTATATTGATGCTGCCTTTGCACGGTTCTTCATCTCTTATTTCACACGACAGACACGAAGATCGCAGCACTCTCAACTAACACGTACCTGTGCGGCGATGCTCGACCCGATTGGTTTTCTGGTGTGGCGCAAATGCAAGCCCTATTTGATTATCAGTATATTTAATGTACGACACATTTAAGTGGCTTTAGCGACCGAAATCAGTACAGCTTCTAGAGTGGCGGGAACATTGAAATTTTTAGATTGACTTTTGGATCCACAACCCTACCGAACGCTAACTTTATGTTTCTATATTTATTCTGTTCATTGTGCCGAGCGCTATGCTGAAAGTGCAGTGTTGGTACACTAAGCTAAATTACTGTTAAAATTTCGCGACATAAAAGGTCAACCGAAGGCAAATGCCTAAATAGGAGACCCGATGCCGCTTTTCATAAATGTACAAATCTTGCAACCTTGCACGTACGCACGCGTCCACACATGCACATCTGTCCGAATTTTGAAATCATTTTCAGAAAACCGCCGCTCGGTTCACACACAGGTTATCCTTGGTAAAAGGGACCTTAAAAACTCGACAGTTTTTAGTGCCTGTTCGGGGTTGAATAATGCGAAGCGATGTCTTCCTCTTCTGTCCTTGCCTTTGTGTCTTGTCTTTCTTTGTCTTTGCCCTTCTTCCTCACCTTTTCCAGTCGTGCAAAAACCTATTTTAACGCATGTCTTGTGGCCTGCATAAGGTCCGTTACTTTGCCGGCATCAACAATGGCAATTTCACACCTTGAAACTGGAATAGTTACGTATGTCACGCGCACGACATAGGCAAGCAAAATGTTAAGTCCAACACGTGTTTTCTTTTTCCTTTCAGAACGTTCCAGTGTCATGACAGGGCCATTGCTGGTCACAGTACATCACTACGATGCAAAGCATGTCATGCACCAAATATTTGCCTTCGTCATCTCCGAAGAAAGAGTTGTGGAGTAGGGTCTGGTCTGGTTGATGCTGATCTGGTCTGGCGATCTGGCGATTTGGTCATGCCGACTCAAAATGAACATAACCAGACCAATAGATGGTACCCCACGCTATCTTAACTTACCTTACATGTATTCCGAGTACCACTTGGTCCGTAAGAACCGGTCGTATCGAGCTTCCCTCATGCCATTCGCACTATCTCAGTTTTGGATTCGGAGGTCGTAGTGTAGAAATGCCCAATATGAATCAACTCTAGCATCGAGATGGTCCCGCCACCCAAAACAGAACAGCTTTCTAGTTGCTGAAGACCCGTACGCGGAAAGTATTTTTTCTGATCCGTATAAGAGTTATGTATTTCCTTCGACGTGCTATCCACGTTACTTCTCCCATTCAAAAACAATACGGCATATGGTGATTTGGGGCATCCGCATTAAGCATCGGGTATTTCGTCATTCTGGTCCAACGTGCAACTGGAGGTGATCGGTAAATCAAAGTAAATGTGCGGATGGCTGGGTTTAGATGAATGGAACGTTTTGCTCTCGGGCAAAAGTAAAAAAGCGTCCACTCGCCCACGAGCGTTAAGACTCATATAAATGCCTGCCCTTCATGAAAGGAGACTGAAACGCTGTGATTGTTCAAAGTATCTTTTTAATATATTCTTTGACGAAATGCAGATTGCGATGAAACCGCGCGCATTACAACACTGAAACGGGAAAATATGTTTTAGAAAAGTCCTTTTCGTTCCGTTTTCAGTACGCTACGCATCGTTTCTGCGCTGTCTCCTCAGCGTAAAAAATTGGCCGCTCACAGAAGACGTTAGCTCATGAGATCAACCCTACATGACGTCCTGTAACCGTCAATCTGAGCTTGTGCATCAGCTTTGTTTATTAAAGGAGGTAAATAAGTAATTCAGCCCATAAATATCACGTAACAGATATTTTTTATTGATAGCAGAAAAATATATTTCAAGTAAAAGTAGAGGAAATTGAATATATCATTCGGTGGGTGAATGGTGTGAGTTGTGAGTAGAAGCTAGCTACATGCATACCTTGGTCGAGGCATATAACTCCAGCATGGCCAATTTTGCGCATGTGGCTGTCCAGCAAGATGTGTAGTGTGCACAGCTGTGAAATGTGGCATTGGGTTGAGTATCTAAAATCTATTTTTTACATCTCGTTATGTGAAAATGTTCAGTTTACTGTAAATCACACCTACCAGTAGAATTTCTACAGCAAGCCTTAGTATGGGAACCGCATCATTGTGAAATTCACTTATTTTATGTTTGTGAAAGACACTGGAAGTTGATTAGATTTGGCAAGATTTTATTGGAAGAACACCTGTGCAAAACTCCATTGTAGGATTGGCTTATGTAACTTTTTGGGATAAGCTCAGCATATGAAGGCAAGTATCTGAATTCCAGTGAGATTTGCAGCTTTATAGCGTACTTACCAGGCAGATAGTGCCCCAAATGAAGCAAGAGAGTGCGGCTTTTGGGACAAGATTGCGGGCTGCATACTTCGGCAATTATAAAGAGTAGTTATTAATAAGGGACCAATTATTAAACCTAGAGCTGTTTTCAAATCACAGTGCCTGGCAAGATATGCCAGCATATATTCAAGTCTGCGTATTTGAAAATACCATTCAAGAATGTCCTGGAAAGTGACCTAAGGATGCTAGTTTTAGGAGCATTTTTGTTCAAGCTTTAGGAAGTTTTGTAAATGTGTTCCAAGTGATGTAAATTTTGTGATCTATCATATGTTGAAGTGTGTTAGGTGACGCAGAACTCTAAATTGGGGATAGGACCTACCTATTTTGTGCAAGATTCAGGATGTATTCAGGCTTAACATCTTGCTGACATTTTTGCCACAGCTTGTAGGACGGTTGATTGCTTGAAAGCAATTTGCACAAGGTAGATTGAATAAAAAAGCAAACCATATGATGTATGGTTACGTGGTGTCTTGATGCTTGTAAGTAAAACATTTTTGGTGAGATTTTTGTACCATTTGGATACCTAGAGCACCTAGTATCAACACACTATGAGAGCATTGTGTATATGAAACAAGAGAGTCTACCACGCTCAAGTTTTTCAAGTTTTCGGTGGCATAAATAGCAGGACATCCTTCAAAATATTCCTCCTTTTCGTATAAACATAGGATAATTGGCTAACAGGAAGGAAATACAGCTTACCTACCCAAAAAGGCTGTAGTACGCAGAATGTACTTGAAGCTAAAAACCAACACGCCGCACATTTTAGATGTGGATTTCTTTTTGTGGCTGCAAATCATGCTAATCCTCGCCTTGATAGGAGCGACGATCCAACCCCCCCCCCCCCCTAGGTGTTTTTGATACCTTGCTGGTACATTTTGCAATCACGCCCAAATTTTCAGTAGCCTATGGGTTATTCACTATGCGTGTTTGGACACGTAAAACGTGCGCCTAGCTTTTCTGGTTGCTGAGCAGTGGCGGTTTTTAGGAGCACTGCACGGCGATCTACGGCCGGCGCGGGCGGCGGACGGCAATCGGCGGTGCTACGGACCGCGCGCGGCAGGCTGTATCCCATTAATGCATTACATTAATGCACGGTTACATTAACGGAACCTATATCAGAAATATATCCTCAAAGCATACTGAAACGTGCACCATTGTACTAAGAATTAAACAAGGAGCACGCTTGTTTGGGTTGTATGCCCCGCAAGACATGGTCTCGTGGATATGATGTAAAGCTGAAAAGTGTGATTTTAAAGGAAATTCGACTGATGATATGCCATAATGGGGTCGGTTATTGATATAGCAACATGTAAGCTAGCACCAATCGCGAGATACCAGTGAAACCAGTCCAATGACTTTTTTGTTTGCTAATCTCTTTCTCTATTGGCTTGTAAACGCCAGGGGGTGCGGGTCGGATTCCCCCCCCCCCCCCCTCCTATAAGTCCGCGTTATAGAAACGGCGAAACAGGCAAGATTTAAGGAGACGGATCAGGTCATTTGTATTTTGTGGGAGACAGGCGTAAGTTTTTTGGAGTCTGCTCTAAAAAAATATTACATCAAACCAGAAAGACAATGGAGTGAGTGTTGCTCTTGCACGTTCTTTGCAGACCAGTCCAGGATTTTAACTTAGCAATCAAGTTTCACCACTGTGGTTTACCGTGATATCGAACACCGTTTCTTAGATTCTGGACATAACCACATCATTCTATGACATAGCTCTCAATACCGAAAACTCGAAGCCGTTTGGCAGAGAAACCAACCTCACTTCTTTTGTGTGTACTGAACAAGCATGATAACTGTTTTGCCATTGCTAGCACAGATAGTACGGGACAGCGCTGGCCCTATTTCTGCTTTGCGAAATTTACCCCAGAAAAACGAATAGTATAAGTTCTCGGCGGGTTTTCGGTGATCTGCTGTTGGGTACAGACATGACAGAGCTCATCAACAGACACGACAGAACACATGAACGGCGCTTGCCCTCGCATAGCGTTCGCAATACTCAACACACGCGGCCACCATTCCGCCCGCATATGCGCAAACAAAACAATATAGACGGAGCATGAGTGACATTCACGCCGCAGCTTCATGAGCTTGACAGGGAACCCGACATCCAACTCACGCCACTGTCGCAAACAAACACCAGCCCATCAGAGCAAGACGGGCCCCAGGGCACACTGTCATCCCACTACCGAGGGCGTTAGCGGAACCCCGCCGCAGGGTTCGAGTTGACATTTTCACAGGTCGCAAATGACGGGACCGAGCGGTCCGATGTCACGGGGTGCACAAGTCCACTGGAAACACGCCTGCGCGGCTCATGTCCGTTCGATGCCAGGACCACCGCCGACGCCAGGGGTCTGACACCGACGGTTCTGTAACTCCTCTGGGGTAGTGCTGTCCGCTGGGTCCCGTACCATTGCTTTCAGGCTGCCCGGGAGTATCGTACCCCTTTACTGAGGGTGCTGCTCGACGGGGCTATACCCTCGTTGGGGGTGTTTTGCGACGGGGCTGTACCCTCGCTAGGGTGCAGCCGCGCCCTCTGGTGCCGCACTCCTGCCGGGGTGCTGCCATCTGAACAGTACCCTCGCCAGGGGGCGCTGCCTGAGGATGTCATGCCCTCCGTGGGGCACTGCCCAATCAGCGCCGGGGTACTGCCCACTCAGCGCCGTACAGTCGCCGGCGCCGACACCGCCGCTGCCGTCGGACAGCTCACAGCTATCCTTCGCCGTCGATGGTGCTGGCGGCGGTAGACGACACGTTGTAGCCGGTCTTCAGACCCCGGTAGATCTCCTCGTTTTCTTTTCGGACTGGAACGAACGGAAGACGCCCATTAGCCGGACACGACTGGCAGACAGGCACGCCAATCTCAGCGTTTTTTTTGTTTGCCGCATCTGCCTAGGGTCATATAACTGGGACATGGGAACTACCGCCGAGCGATTTGTTACCGCAAGGAGCACGCCAACCGACCAACAATGTTCCAATGTTCCGCGCAAACGCAAAGAGCTTCGGGGGGCCACAAAACGACAGCATTGGCGACAGAGACACATGTCGTATTGTGAGTAGGCATGGCAAGACACGGCGACAAAAAGAAACAAATAGAACAGCGTGTGCAAAAAGTTTGGCGGTTCGGATTCTAGTTCGAGGGGCAGAAGCGCAATACACCCGCTCAGATTAGACCGTACTCTTTGTGTATGGTCGGCGCTGTACCATGGAGGCTATGGCGAGGGACAGAAGCCCGTCAGGCTTAGCAAACCTAATTAGCCTTGTTCGAGATGTGGGCGCGTGCGTGCGTGCGTGGAATCGGGGCGGTATCATAACAGCTATGGAGAAGATAAAGCGTATCCCGCTTCATTGGGTTTCACGTAACCTCACAGCGCGTGATTCCTTGGATGCAGAGATGATTAAAAACACATCATTGTCTAAGCGTTGGGAAAAACGAGACTCTTCATAAATTTCCTTAGGAAACCCCATGCTGAGTACACTCATCTCACTGGGTATTGTGCATACAAAAATGCGAGGAAGGTCAGGAACAGCCGGGTATGTATACCCAACAGTGTACGGCGATCAAATTGAAGGTTGCGAGTGTTAGACTGGAACAATCCACGGACGATTGCGTCAAGTAGTGCTGAAGCTTCGGCACAGGTCGTGGAAGTCATTGAAATTGGAATAGACGCGTGCATACCGTACAGCGCACCACACACCATTGGTGTTCCATGGTGTTTAGTGTTTGGTTCGGTGTGTGGCGCATCCTCCCAGTTTAAAGGGCACTGACGGATCACAGAAATATACGGATTACCTCAGCGGGGCTCGCTTGAACACTTCTAGCCTGGATGCGCCTGGCTGGTGTTTAGCGAGAGCGGAGCGTTGCTGATGCTCCATGCTGACCGTTCGAGCAGGCGTGAGATATGCCGATTGTTCAATCACAAGCACATGGGTGTCTCATTATAGCCGAAAATAGCAGTCGTGTGGATGAATGTGCCAAAAAGGTTTTAAGAACGGGATTTTTAAAGATGATTTAGTATATCTTTCACATACTGACAAGGAAGTTATTGTTGTCATACAATGTCATTGGTATTTCATAGCTGACCCACGGTAATGGATCTCCGAAAAAGGTTATCATACGAAACTAGAATCTTGACAGACATGTGATTCTCCAGTCCATGCCTTCATTCAGTTCACCCAAATTCTAGCATAGGTCTGACAGGTCGGACAACGGTGTGGATCGGTCGAGGACGTTGGATGCTGACCGTGCCGTTATTGTTTACATCGGTGTTGTGTTGAGCAAGGCCAGCTGTGAAGATGATCTAATTCCAGAATCATTCGCCTTGGATTATAATCAGGCAATGTTTGGACTATGTTACGTTTGAAATGCTATGGACTGCTTCGTGTCATTACTAAATAATTGCTGAAAACTTTCCAAAAAGATTTGAAAGGTTTCACACCGTTATCCCTCGTAAAAATGACGAAAGCGCAAACTACGAACGGCAGCAGACATCAAATGCAAATATATACCTTATTACTAGTTACATGCACGCCGCTAGCTAAAACATGATTGGGCTTTCCAGCAAGCTTCAGTTTTTTATTTCGAAAGAAAACTATATGTTGCAAAACGTTTTTTAATCTGCCAAATACTGAGGAACGGAAAAAGGTGGTTTTTGCATTTTGGCCTTCGGCTAATCGTGCCGCAGAACCCCATGCAATATTGCGTGGCAGTAACGGCGCGCGGTGGTGGTGGCAACCTTCCACAGGGCTCGGGTCGAAGTCAAGGCTCTGCAGAAGTGTTGCGGCATAAAGGGAGAGGCCGGCGTAAAGAACGATGGCAAGCTGATACCAGATATCGCACCTTTTTACACATGTAAAAATAATCTTCTAAACCAACCTAATAATGTTCTAATCATGTAAACCGTAAGGATAGCAAACATTGTTCTATCATGACGACCGCAATAATTTACAGCATACTCAGCACCGAGAGAATCACCGATAGGAATGTGTGTTATCTATCACTTTCACTAATGCCATTCAGAAAAAGCCTTCCGATACAGCGCCACCAGCTCCAAGGCTGCCCGCTCCCCGAACGAAGAGCATCACTGTATACACTGCCCGTAGTGGCGCTCAGCCGCGACGCAGCATCCCGCCAGGACGTCGGCCTCCGAAGGCTAACAAAGCGCGTCCAGTCCTGAGCCCGCCCCACCCCGCGGTGAATCGTCTCAGTAACACGCCTCCCCCAGCCTGTCACTGCGGGCGTGACAGGCGAGGGGCCGGACGGGACCGCTGACGGCGGCGCGCGATGCCGACGGAACGCCGCATGGCACGGCGCCAATGGTGCGTGACGACGGCCCCCCGCCACGCGCTCACAACTCCCTGCAGCGACGCGGTTTACGGCTAAAAGGAAGACGTAAAACGCGATGAAAGGCGGCCGATGGGTGTTTCGCCATTCAGTGCCGGCATTGCGGGACGGCAGGCTCCGCAGGCCAGGCTCTGCCGTGGATTCATCAGGCACCGGAACATTTGACCTCCACGAACTGTCCATGCCGCAGTCATGACGCGACTGTCAATCGGAGTAAGGGCACTTTGGTTTTCCAGTCGACTTCACAGCCGTAGTAATTGAGCAGTTGCGGTTCCGGTGTGTCCCTGCAAGCGGTAATGCTGCAGGGTTGCGCATCATCACGTCGTCCTAGTCTGCTTTGTGCTCGTCAGTTGTTACCGGGTGAGTTGAGGGTGAGCTGGAACGCCATGGGTATTGGCGGAACCGTACACAAGAAGATGCGCCCCTGTGTTTAATCGATGTATGTGTTAGGCGGCCGTACCGGTCCAACACAGCTTTGGAAGCTATCCGCGAACGGAAACAAGTCGTGAGGCGACGGGCTGGGAAGCCCAAACAATAAGAGAGAATTGATAAATATTTGGTGTAGAACGGTACATTACTTTGAAACGGAAACAAACCGAACGAAGAAAATGTTTCGGTGTTGAGTTATCGCGCAACGCCGATGAGAGGTTGTTTCACAAAGCTGTCGTCATTTAAAATAACGTGCCGTTGAAGCCAGTTACTGTGTACACGACGATAAATATGTGTACTTCATACACGAAGCATCACTTTTTGTGTCTGAAGTCGCCACTGGAAAACCTGAATATTGATGAAAAGTGCTCGATGTGAATTAGCTCCTTCGAACACGGTGAAACAGGACTGTCATTTCATTGATTAAACAGTAGTTCTTGGCCTTCTACTCAGAATCTTAGCAGAATTTCATTAAGCGCGCTACGGCCGCAATGGCAAATCACAATGTCATCTAGCCTATACACTTATTGTGTACACGGTTAAGTGGATTTACTACCCGGCGCATAAAGAATGACGTTCAATTCCAATGTGTTCACATGGACGCTGCCCCTTGACCACGTCTAACATGCTTGGAAACGATGGTATGCGCACCATGACCATGACCATGAATGATATCCACCACGTTTTTGTACCATCCATGCGCATTAAACCCACTGCATAGAACGCTTATTTGGTCAATGAGTGCGAGACGTTCCGTGACAGAATAATTTGCAAACCTCATCAGTTGGAAAACCACTTGAGAGGAAACAGACCATGCTACAAATTACCATTGAAATTAACCGGAAGTATCAGTGACGACAAGAACCGTCAGTATGATTCTTCAGCAGTCTGTGCGAGGACAGGCTTGAAAATGGCATTTCTCTCCTGCTCAATGGTTTCGTTGACCCCCCGCCCCCTTCCACTGGATGTGAACGCTCCTAACTTTCACCAGCTGATGGGACCAACATGTTCCACGATGCTTGTTACAAACGACAGCTTAACCCAAGAAGGACTGAGAAACGGTATGGTGCTCGTCGTGCTAGTCGAGCATGCCGGGATGCATGCTCGACTAGAAATAAATACTATTTGGTGCTGCTACAAAACCACAGACGCCATTACCCCGACTAAGTGATTATCGGTAATGCACTAGGACATGTGAAAATGTGCATACCTTTTATTAGCATTGCCTGAACTGTAAAATGTGCAGCTTCTTCAAAATTGCCACAGTGGTCAAAACTCCTTGCAATGTATTAGGAAACCCCCATGGCTCTTCGAAAGGCGACATCATTCGTCGGTTCCAATTTTGCACCGCTGGAAGCCGGCTTGCTAGCATCAGGAAGTCAAGAGGCAAACGTAAGTTAAGAAGATAACGGTTGACGACGTTGGACTTTGCCGGCGGAAATGGTTCATGCACCCAATCTAGTTTGTTTGCTTTTAATTAGTGTCTCCACGACCGCTTGTGCAAAATAATGGAATATATGCTAGCCTAGTTTCAAACCTTTTTACACGTGCCCCACGATTGATCTTGTCTAGTTGCTCTGAGCGTGTGGAATACGTTCACGTCACTAATGTCCTTAATCTTTGAGTAGGCCAGTCGGGGGAAAGCTTACATCACATCTGAAGAAAGAGCCAAATCAGCCCTCAAATCACCATACCATTTACTGAAGTAACTGTGATGAGTGAAACAGGCCATAGTGGCCGGTAGAACAGGTGAACACAAGTTACAAGACAGTTTCAATCATAAATTTCGGCGTGGCTATTTCTCTGTGGCATCACCAAAATGCCTAGACCTAAATTAGCGTATGACGAGCAGTTTGTGAGGCAAGTATCTCACCACCAACGTGTGCGTACGTGGCGACAAGACAACAAGACAGTCCGCCAGCCTATTTCTACCACTTGGTAACGGCCAGTTCCAGAACTAAGACCAAGTGTCCCTCCGGCGAAAGCGTACATTTTATCGACCGGCTGATGAGCAAGGCCTTCCCAACCTGGAAGAACGATACCAAGATCCAACTAGGCTCAGAAGGCAGGCCATTCTGCCACAGAAAAACTTCGCTCCTGATGGCAAAAACTGTAAGTTTCTGGAGAAACAGCGCAGAAGACCAGGACCTGTCAGCCGGTGGTCAGTCCCAGAGGAGGATGGCAACTACCCAGTGGAGCTTCTGGACAGCCCCTAGACAACGTAAATACCATCAGACAACTTAGTCCTCAAGCAAGGTGCGCGCACATCCCCAACATTGTAAGACGACAAGCTTAACCAACTCTCACGACGCAGTGTGTCTTCTGTTGACTAGCTCCCTAAAATTCAAGTGGCATAGATACCTACATATCGTGCAGGTATTTTTCGAACGAGGTATAGACCACCTAAGGAATCCATTCAGCTGTATGACGCTGAAAAATGTTCCATTGTGATTAACAGCACCACTATGACCCATTCGAAAAACACACAGCTAGGTTCTGACCATCAAAATGACTGGAAAAACACTTGTTTTTTTTAGAAGCACCTTCTTAACAAAATCTGAGAACAGACGCGTTAATCCTCCAGTTTCCTTGTTCATATGTGGTGGAACACTTCCCAAACTGTAAAAACACCAATTGCAATCAAATGGTAAGAGTGAGCAAGGCTTTTTTGGACAGACAAGAAAATACAAATGAACTTGAGCGCCCAGTTATAGTCAGACTTAGCGGTCATACTTTCTAAAAGTCGAACGTTCTCAAAGACCGCAGAGTTCACAGTCATTCATATCTTAGTAATGGCAAGCGTAACTTGTACTAAACTAACAAACTTGTAACCTGTACCTTGTGCATAAGTTGTGCCGCAAACATTCCACTGTCTTTGCATGAATTTAAGTTGTTTGATCGGACAATATTTCCTCCAACGTTGTAGCATGCACAACGCGCAGCTTCCCCAAGTACGAGCCAATGAATACTCGGCTGATGTTACATTACGGGGAATACTGCACATAATTGTTTAGCATTTTAACTAGGCCTGCACAAGCCTTCCCGGCTTCTCTTCGCCCGGTCCTTGAGCCTCGTTTCAGCTCAACCGCACGAGACACGAGACATCTGGTCGTCTTCCTGTCAGATAAGCAAGGAATCGTTTCCTTCCCAGTCATCAACAACTGACAAAGAAAATAACCAAGAACATAACATTGGAGCATCTGCTACCGCATGCAATGCCTCTTGACTCGGGCGCCTGTTTTGTTCCGTCGCTGTTACGCCTGACAAAGCGGTGGATGGACGGCGACAGTTGTCAGTGACGACCTCACCCATCCCCAACGAGGGGCGGGTACGGTGAAGCGCCACCAGATTTATGAGGCCCGTTTGGAGTTCGACATATCGGTGAGGAGAACGACTGATTACGGCCCGATGGAGAGACATCTAGCTTCCTTAATACCCACCTTAGAGTCATTCATTCATTAGAGTCATTTATTTGCAGTCAGACGTGACTCCTCACGACGCAAAGGTCGTGAAGAGCCCGCAGGGAAAAACATGAGAAACGTAAAATTTGTTAGCTGCGCAGGAGCCGCACAACACAGGTCAAAACCCGGGGAAGATCTCGACGTAGCGACGCCGAAGTGATCACCAACCAGCGTTGTCATTTGACAGAGGTAAGGTCGGGCACTCGTTTTGCTGAGGGTATGGCTAGGTGTCTGTCAAGCGCTCGTCACATCCGCTCGAGCACAATGAGTGAAACGGCGAGAAAAACTATGAACCCCCCAGTTTTTGTAGCGTTTTTATTGGCTGGCACGATGTCGCGGCTGATTGGTATCAGATCCTTTATCAGATCACGTCCGAACTAAGGCCCTGAGTTATCAGAACAGATCAAAATGTGAAGTCAGCTGTGCAGTGCAGGTGAACCGGCGCAGTCAGTGAATGACCTGGCCACTTTCCGACACGTAGACACACTAACAGTCCGTCCGCCCACAGGCAGTCAATGGCACCTCCTCGACGCCGGACCAGGGAGCAGCACGCTGTGGCCTAAACAGAGCGACCGGGCTTTGGTTTGGACCCGGTTCCGAGGGACTGGGCTTTGTATGGATCCGGTCCCGAAGGACTGGGCTTTGGCATGGACCCGTCCCGAGGGACTCGGTGCCTTTCGCCCAGTACATGAGCATTGAAATTATTCGTCCTCTTTGATGAAACTCAGGGCCCCAATCAAGGTACCAAGCGATTTTTCAACAAGAGAATCCGTAAGCAACGGGCCGAGTGCACAACGTGGTTGATATCACAATGCAAATTTCGCTAGATGCTAAAATTCGTTTTATCCCTTATTTCTGCACAGCGATCAATGTAACGCCGCAGATAAGCGGCGGGGCCGGTGAGACTATGACTGCACCAACTTTCACGACAATATTCATGTTTTTTCCTTTTCATTTATATGTGCCCGTTATGGGTGCTATGCAAGCCAATTTTCGAGCACATAGCACCTTGGAAGGCCACTTACCACCCATGTCTCTGCAGTGTACTGCATTTTTCGGAATCCAAAGCATACCACGAGAAAAAATTCCCTTCCACACATTCCCTCCATTGGAAACAATGTACCATCGCTTTGGCTGCTTTCCCAACAAGACCTTTATCATTTACCCAACAATATCTATGTTCCATCATCTCTCTTCATCTGTAAATCTGCACAGCAGTCCAGCCACGCGCATGGTCCGTAAATCCCCACCCCTCCTCCCTTCGACACCCGTGACCACTCAGGCACCGCCTGCCTTACCGTCCGCTCCGTCCGTAACATCCTCCGAGGAGGTGAGGTACAGCATGACGAAGATGAGGCCGACCGACATGGAGACGATAATAAAGGCACCGGCCATGACGGCCAGCACCACCTGGCGGCGGCGGCGCTCCTTCGGCTCGAGGTCGGCCGACGGCAGCAGGCCGGCCGCGGCGCCCGGCGTCAGGCTGGTCACGCTGTGCAGCCGGCGCACGCTGCCGGCGCGCGAGTCGCCCGCCCGCGACGAAGGCCGCCGCGATGGCCGGCGCGAGTAGCGCCGGCCCGAGGCGGCGTCCGGCGTCAACTCGGAGTGGCGCCGGCACAACGCGGCCGCCGACGCCGGCCGGCTGAGCAGCTCGCTGCTGCGCCGCGAGAGGCGGCGCCGCGGCCGGCTCGAGCGCAGCGAGGCGCGCCGCCGCGCCGGCTCCGGGTCGTTCAGGTACAGGTTGAGCCGGTAGTGAAGCGCGTCCAGGTGCAGCGCGTCCGGGTCGCTGTGGCTGCGCGCGGCCGGCGCCAGCGCCGTCGCGTCCTCCTCGATCACGTCCAGCCCGGCGTCCGGCTCACCACGTGAGAGCGCGTCCGAGGACGGCGGCTCCTCGGGCACCGAGTGGACTTCGCCAGCCGTGGCGCCCGGCTCCAACTCCTCGAGCCGACCGCCGGTGTCGGCCGACCACTCGCTCTCCAGGTGGTACGTGGAGCGCGGCCGAGCACGGCGGCCCGCCGCCGGCGAGCGGCCGCCGTGGGCCGCGTCGCACATGATTGACGCGGTTCCGAAGCTCTTCGGCGGCGGCGAGCGGGCTACAGTCACGTCCGAACGTGCCTCGTTAGCGCCGTTCGCCCAGGAACAGCCCACGATAGACCCGGTCACCGGCGAGGGCGGGCAATGGCCGCGCTAACCTTCCAGCTTGGAGCGGCTTCGATCTGGTCCCGTCGGCCCACTCCGAACGAGGACGCTGGCGTTGAGCAGTTTCAGTGACGCGCAGACGCTCTTCCAGCCGGACGTATTAGGAATACCTCCCCCACTTCTGTTTCCCGCTCCGGACATCAGCTAATCACATCAGCTTCGACAACAAGCACTGCACGGCTGACGTGCGGCTTCTTCACCGCCGGTCCGAGCTGAAGCGGCCGCAGCCGGCTGTTGCCTGTCCCGCGGCAGTCCCCGACGGACTGTGCGGCCGGCTGGCGGCAGATCCCGCCACTGGTCTGCCAGCTGCTAGTCGCCCGGCCGGTCTGCCACCGCTATTTCCGAACCGCCGCCGTTCGCCGCGTGTTTATACCGCGCCCGGCGGACACAGAGCGGCCTTCTTCCCAGCCCTGGGGAGAGCCCGTGCGTAACCGCGCTCAGTCCTCAGCGAGGGCATCGCCGGCAGGGACGCGAGAGCCCAGCAGACCTGGGGCGACAACAAACCACCGCTCCGTAAACGGCGCGCCCCCTGCGGCGGTCGCTGCTCTCGGCAGCTCTTGTTCCGGGGATACAAACACCCTGTCGCCTGGCGCAGCGGGCGTCGGCCGTCAGTCTGCTGCGGGGCGCCGACGATACGTCCGCTGTCCAACTGGCGCTGAGCTGAGGCCATGTGGGCGGCGACCCGCCAGCCTAAACGGACGCGACGGGCTGACTACTCTTTCCACTTCCAGACGCCACACTTTGCTGACAAGGCCGCTAGGGCGCTCACAGCCTTACATTCAGGTACGCTATCTGCCCGAAGCGATCCACCGAGACGTGGTGGCCAGCCACGGCCTCCGATCGCCGGGCAGCGACTAACCCCCGCTGGCGGCTAGATGTTCACCCGCACGCCGCCGACAAACGTCTCCAGGTCGAGGCCGGCCAGCGGCGCACTAAGGTCGGCCGGCAGCTCGGGCAGCAGCGGCGCTGCTTGGCGGAAGACGCAGACGGAGGTGACGACGGCCATCACCATCAGACGGCCGAGAGAGTGCAGTCGAGACGGGTAGCCGAGGACGCGAGGCGCTACGGCGCTCTGCTCCACACCCAGCGGCCGCTGATATGCCAGCCGGCGCCCGCCGTAGTCGGTGAGCGCAACCTCGACCGCCGCCACCGCTGCCGCCGGCGGTGGCGCCTCCGGCTCGGACGGCACCGGCGAGCCGGCCGGCGTCAGCTGACTGCGCCTCGGCGCGCCGCGGCTGTACTGCGCCGCGACCGCCGCCGTCCAGTCGCTGCGCTGCTTGAGGGTCGCCGGCGGCCCGCTGCTCACGATGTCCGCCTCCATCGGGGCGCAGCGGTGTTTACAGGGGCCGTCTGCGTATGACGACGACGTCAACGGCAAGACGTATCCCAGCGTCCGACTCCGGCGCACACCGCACGTCACACCGTCCTGTCCCAGCGTTCGACTCCGGCGCACACCGCACGTCACACCGTCCTGTCCGTCTCCTGATCGCACCGCCGCAAACTTTCACCGCTCGCCGAGCCACACCGCACCAACGCTCTCACCGGCCGTCCGGTGCGCGCCGGGCATGCGCTCGCTCTGACGGAGAGATAGGAGCGCCGCGGTGCCAGCTGGTGAGAGCGGCACGCCCGGCGTGGCTGTCAGGTCAGGTGGGCGACGCTGCGCCACCTGGAGCCCGGCCAGAACCGGTCACTGAGCGGGTTCGCCGCCCACTCTCCTCTGCGGCCGCCTCAAGGGCATGCGCTGCACCGCACTGCACTGCACGCTTGGGCGTAAATACGCGTCAGCGCCGGCCAGGGGCGGCAGTGACGTCATGCGCTGCCGGCCGCGGGGCGGGGGGGGGGGACGGGGTGACGTCACGGGCTGGCGGCGAGCGCGCGGCTTAGCGGCCCGGCTGGTCGGCCGGCGTCTATCGCTGACGCGCGCTCGGATTTGGGGCGCTGGCAGTTTTTATCTAATTGAGCACTGCTGTAGATATATCATGTCGATAGAAGGATAAGATATGCTTCACGGCCGGTGGGTGCAATTGGAGTAAACCTTGCTCAGGGGACGGGACCTGCAAGGGCTTGGACGATGTGCACCCTCAGTTGGTCCTAAGGAGCATCCCATTTTTTGTACTTACCTCTCAAAGTTGGATCGGACCGGTCTTATTTGATCAGTAATGCCAGTTTTCTCAGAATCCTTCTGAATAGCTAAGAATTTATATTTTACGCGGCCGTTCCCCCGAAAGCGTTCTCACCGGACTTTCTCCGCATCACTAAGAAAGCAATAAGCTTCATCGGTTTGACTTTTCCCAACGCGTGTATCGTGTAATGTCCTCAGCACACTAATTGGTCAAATGCTTGTTCAATAATAAAACGAGAGCTTGAAACCCTTTATTGGGGGAAAAAGATATACAAAGGTGAGGTAATTCGCACGTCAATTTCGCGAAGCGTCGCACTGCGGGCTTGCTTTCCTACACTGTTTAGCACAGTGACTGATTGAAGATTACTTAAGCTGCGGGAAGCGTTGTTTACTTGAAGGCGCATTTGATTGCAAGGTTGCGTTTATCAAGAAGGTTTGTGCCAGTGACATGGCATGTGGTTAGGTGACACACGTGTCATCAATGTACTCCTCGCGAAATGCTTACGCGACGCCCGTCGTGTCAAATTGATATTTCTTGATATTTCCTTGATATTTGCCTTGATATTTCTACTCGCGTCATTCATACCCAACCAATACGCAAGCGTAACGTATACCGACCTCTGCAATAATGAGGGTTGGAAGTGCCATGTAATGTTAATGAACATGAGTGGCTCCACTTTCCCAGCAAATATTTCCATCCTGAGCAGACAAGCTTTACCTCACATTGGATGATAACAACTATCTTGACATGTGCCTAAGAACGGAGAGCCGCAGCAGAATTGGGATTGAGATCAAATCAAGGTTAAGAAAAAATGGGGCCCGAAACTAGTAATTTGTTATTACCAGTCGCATGGGAAGCAAAGAAATATGAAAAACGTGCATCCCGCGTGATATGAGGAGAGGAGAGGCAAGTGCACCAGATAAATTGGGTGAATGTTTTACCTGCCTCTTCTATCTCACTAGTGGTTACATCCTCGGCAGTTATGGAAAATAAATGGAGTATGAGGAGCTGGACAAGTGCAGTATGAGTAAATGCTCTGGATAAGTTAAAAATGAGTTAATAAGTGAAAATGCTGGAAAATTCCAGAAACAAAAATGTTAGTTTGCAATGTTTTAAATATATGCAGAATGTCAAGCAATTGAAAACAAAGACAGAATGTTTTGAAGAAAATAGTTTGAAACGCATGACAAACAAATGCTAGAGTTATTCACTGTGCCTTTGTCAACTTGACATCGTGCACACATTGTTACATCCATGGGGACTACAAAAAAGTCAAACACTGTTGATATGGCATTGCGGCTTTACGACGCACTCAGCCGCTGAGGCTATATGACGTCGCCTGCCTCTCACCCTGGCAGGAAGGGCAGGCACCGCGGGGAATCGAACCCCGTACCTCTAGTTTCCCAGACGTGCAGTGGTTTATGGCTAACGTAGACGCGTTAACCACTACGCTACCGGCACCCCAAAGACTGTCGATATACAGCAGCCGATGAACACGGCTGAACTCTCACCCCACGTTGAAACAGATGGTCAACGACAGCAATCGAGGATTGTTATTAGACATCAATATCAACTATTTACGGCATCCAAGCAGTAAAAGCATACCTAAAGCAGTAAAAAGCATATAAAAAGCAGTTAAAGTACACTGGTTTTGTGTTGTATGGCTTATGTCCGATTACTACTATTAAAAAATTCAGCACTTACTTCTACCCTGCGTTTTTTGTGAAAACTGGAGATGTTCACCTGAAATAGTGGAGAATAGAAAACATTCTACAACATGAGTGTATGAATTTAATGCATTGCTATTCTGGGCTCTTGCCATCATGGCAAATTTAAAGCTGGCTTGCTATATTGGACAAATGTACTTACTTTGCTATCCTTAATTTCCCGGATAGTATTTTTGAACCCCAATTTCCATCTCCAGGAGTCCCTCTGTCCATACAGGAACCCGTTCTATTTGCATTATCCATGTCCAGTTTGTTTTGCCGGCACATTCGTGAGTATGGCTCATTGTGCCAAAATAATGCTGGGTGATTATCAATACACTTGAGCTACAGGTGTGGAGACTGAAAATTGCGTTGGACGTTTAACATATGTTAAGATTGTTCCGTGCGCGATGCGTGTGATGACTGTTTTTT